TTAGCTCGGCTACGACGGGATTCGCATTGTCGACGGAGGCTATGATCACAAAAATTCTACTTCCAGACTCGCCGCCACGATTTTGATATCGCCTATAACCGTTGTGCATCTTCCTACTCATCTCTGGTTCGCATTTCGAAGTTATAGAGAGGTGCTGCCCGCTGTAATCGTTTTTAAATTCAGTTTTAATTTTCTCTCCACTAGTTTATACGTTACTATAGTAGCACAATAACAGCGAATCAGTTTCATGATGAATGAATGACTAGTTCGATCCCCTATGATGGACTTACTTTTTAGTTTGAGAATATTCTAACAGGCGGCGCTGTTGAGCATTTACGATAGTCCCGAGGAATTCCGCTGGGGGTGTTGATCGAATTTTGAATAAAAATACTTCTTTATATGTGTTTCCTCAGTCACTCTTACACTCTCTCTCTTCTTCTATTTATCTATCTCTTTCGTCCCGAATATCTTATTACTCTTATGTAACCTGTATTAACATCTCCCACATCTCTAATACCAGAGGCTGTAAAAGGCAAGCATCCGATTCGGCTATTGCCTTACTAATATGGAGTATCTTCTCTCATATGCGTGCAGCTTGGATAGCTGTCCGCTAAAATGAGACGCGTTTCCTTGACGGCTGTTCTATTCTTCATTGGAACTCATCGCAGTCGCTCCAAATGCTTACGCGATCTATTTATCTTCGGGCCTCTCGACACTTATGGCACTTTACGGTTAGAATGAAGCACGTGCATTCTGTTTCGACAAATCATTGAAGTCCGTCACTGGTCATCTCCGCATACAGATGATAAGGCTTTGGACGTAAGATCTACATATGTAAAATCACACGTTAAAGTGCCTCTAGCTTCGGTTACTTTGGTAATAGCCGTTTCACTGTTGAGTAATTGCGGAGCAGCTTTTTCTTTTGATAGCATTACAATTCCTATAGTAACACTAGGAGGTGTACTATGAAAGACTTTAGTTTTTACATTCTTATTTTAGAATTTACCTTTCATGTTTGTTCGTATTTTTCTGTATCTTTTAACCACTTTTGAGTATTATTATATACAGTAATAAATATATCTATCTTGCGGATTCTCGTTCTGTTTTCTTTTTCTTCACCTTCTCTTTACCCATATGTCTGTGTTCTTCTTCCATCCATTCTTCCTTTCTTCATCCTTTTCACCCTTTTTTCACTTCTACCCTTTGATTTATTCCATTATCCGCGATCTTTTCTATTAATCCTGTGTCCTTTCTTACTTTCAGCGCTGTGAAAAAACCTACGATGTTTCCGGAAAATTCCGCTAGAGTGCACGGAAAGAGAATTCAATAAAATATCTCCTAAAATTACATTTCCCCGGGAAGCAGCTTTGTTAGTACCTGTCAACTCCGTCGGATGTCGCTGTTAATCACCTGCGATAGTTCTGGAAAATAGCACCAGACGGCGTTGAACTGCAGCCTACGTTCTGACAGATGAAGCATTAAATTTACAGAAATACAGACTATCAAAGAACAAGAGTTCCAAAATTTCACAAACCTTTTCAACATCTCGCAGCCACCCCTGGAGTCCAATCGTGTGTTACATTGGATTCCTGAAACACAAATCTAATCAAGGAGATCTAGGAATAGCGGCAGAGACAAGCTTTTCAAACAGAAATTAAATTTATTAAATCGTTTCGTTAATCATATTCCAAGAGTCCGTTATTCGCAATCGTAATATAAGATTTGCATGTCTCTGATATTCTTCGTCACATAATTTCTTCACCTCTCTGTTTGCATTGTCTTCGAGCGACGGATAAAAAGGCAGAGTCTTTATTGTAAATCGTTTAAGCTTTGGTTCTATTTCATCAACGCTTGACGCGCGTGTCCGTTTTTGGTTTTCATACGTGTCATTCGCTGCTCTCTCTCTCTCTCTCTCTCTCTCTCTCTCTCTCTCTCTCTCTCTCTCTCTCACTATCTCATTAGCATGCAACCACGTGTGCATATTCTCTCATATGCATACCTCTCCCATACACACACTCACACTTCCGCACTCTCTCCTCTGCCGCTCTCACGCTTTAATGACACCATCCGTTATCATAAAGGTTATCATTTATGCGTGGATTACTTTCTTCGATGAGAAATGCTAATCTGGTAAAAGACTCGCATACAATAATAATCCCTACATTGATTGACGAAGATTTAAATGGCAAAAAAAATCGGCGAGTTTTCAAAATATGTCACAAAATTAATGATTATCATAAACAGGTTATACTATACAAACGCCAGATCTCCAATCGACACAGTGTACAGGTACGCCTAGGAAAAACGAATTGTATAATATTAAAACGAAAAAAATTTTTTTTTGAAATCGCACCGATCTTTTTCAAACTTTCAATCAACTCTTTAAACGTTACTCTCACTAGCTACGTTTAATATCGTTACTGATAATTAATTCCAATTAAAAACACCTTGCTATCAATCGTCATTGATAATGACTCGTTATCGTTAAGATTAAAAACACTGGACACGTCGATTTGCATCTGACATCGCGTTACACACGAATCCACCGTTATTCCCCATTTTCACTTGGACACCCATACATAACTTTTTTTTGCGGTATCTCCATGCTAGACGCAACGCGTGCATTTTCGCAGACTCTCCTGTTACTTCGAAAATTTTTTTTGCCAGTACACCAAAATTTCCTACTCAATTTTTCAAAACATTCATGGTGCAGTCGTACGTTCTCTCGTTTAATGCATAACATAGTCTGTCCATGAGTGAAATACTTCAAAGTGACAGATGGGAACACGTGTTTCGCGCTGGTGAGTCGCATGGCAAAGTTTTTCACGTGCAAATATTCATTTTTTCAAAAGGTTATAGTTTCAGCTGATTTTATATTGATTTTTCATACATTATTAAAAAAAAAAAAAAAAATACAAATAGGAAAATTTGACCACGTGCTTCGTATCTTGTCATCTGTCACTTGAAGTTACTTTACGTGTTCACCGACTATGATTATGCGAATATGTGCGTGCAAGTGTACATTTTTGTATTTGTACGCGTCTGTATACATTTGTATATTTTTGGCACTCTTGTACCCTTTTTGCGCAAAATCACCGACCGTGCGATTATACGACAACGCAATAATCGAGTAGCGAAAGTGTTAAGAAAAAAAAAAAAAATATATTAAATGCGATTCGTGCAAATACGAATGTAGGACTTTCGGAACGTGTGAATTCAGGCCCTAAGTTCGTTTATCGTTATAACAATACATAATTTGTTTATAATTATCTACTAACATCTACGACTGTAAATTTAAACGCTATTATAATTTTCGATCCAATATGAAATTGTAATGGAATTATTTTACAAAAAATTATCTTCACATATACGTTAACGATATTAATATTATATATATATATATTTATGTTATGTATATAATGTAATAACCTAGTAACGAGTTAAACGCGTTGTATGTGTCGTGATAACGCATCGCTATGTTATCGTTATTAATAATAAAACGTGTAGTAAATATAATATATTTTCATATATATATATATATAATACTTTTTTTTTCTTCATGTATATCGGTAATCAGTTAATTGGTAACTATACAGTTCGTTTCACCCATGTCTTACGCTGACAATTCGTCAGCGCGACTCTTCATTACATATACATATATAATAAATTTGGCGAAATTTGGCATGTGTCGCGTTTTATCGGTAAATTCGTCCAATTTGAGCCAAGTACGAAGTTTCGTAGACAATCGTTTAAGGATCGTCCATTTAATTAACTCCCGACTGTCCATCTGCCCGAAGGCAGAAACAAAACGTCAGTTTATGCGTTTCGATCTGTATTTTCGACACGATATAAAATTCACACTGTACCTGTGCGTAATCATCGTTCGTTCGATTTTTAATATCTCACTTTTGTTTTACGAGGAAAAATAAACAAGGATAAAAAATTTTATTAATTTCCATTCCACAATTCATTAAGCGTGCCCTGATCCGATCCTTGAATCCAGATTTTTTTAATTGTACACACCCTATATACAAATTTACGGGAAAAGGATAAAACGAATCGCGATAACAATGTGAAAAAGAAAATTTTTCTCGTTTATCTTAATTTTTCAAAGACTATTTACTTCTAAAAACTTTTTTGCAGTCATATCGAGGAAATCTTAGTGATTACAAGTTCGAGTTTAAAAATTAACCTTGTCCACTAGGATTAATGAATTCATTAAACACGGTTATTTTCATCTGCAAGTATTAATTTTCTTTTTCAATATTTTTCCTCTTTCTTTAAATTTTATCCTACTCGTTCGTTTTTCGTTATCTTTCGGTTTTGTTATCTATCGGTTTATGTATTTCGACTATCCAATGACGCTAAAGGTATTTTCCTTGTGTCAGCACGTGAAACGAACATTCGGAGACAGCTGTCAAAACTGGAGCTATCTATTTATTTATTTATTTATCGGATAAAGGGCTACTCTCTTTAGACTGAAAATATTAAAAAATTTACAAGTTTGTCCCTATAGCAGTTGACGTTACCAAACGTCCTTTTCATATTGTTAATTTATTAAGGACCCAAGTGTCAAATAGAACGAATCAAATTCCAATTAAATGAACGTCACTTGCAGTAAATATAAAGTCAATGAAAGGTAACGAATCGATCGAATGACTTTTTTTTGCGATACCCAAAAATTCACGTGAAAACGCAACATTTCTTTGAAATACGTTAACAGACAAACGGTTTAACGATAATTGACAAATTTTCTAAATAATGGAATCCTAATAATACCTGCTTTAATTTTTCTTTTCAAAAGTCAATATTTCACTTTATCCCCCTCCACCCTGTACGCACGTAATCCCACGTAACAACTTTTTACTCTTCGTCTGAACTTCCCTGCGGGAGTCGAAGCATCTTTCGGAACTTCAACTTCCATATAACTTATGACCTTTGCTGGCTTTTGGAAGTTGTCTTGACTTTTTGTTTCTATCCCTTCCTCACGTTACCCTCAACCACCCTCCGCCAGCCCTTACGAGTAATGTCAATGGTTAACTTCCCTGGCTGGCTGCTCTCGTGGTTGACGTTGCCTTTAAAGATAGGGATACGAATGTTCCTGAATACTTCAGTCAGTCTTTACCAACAGTGCCTACAGGATGGGCATGATCGTTTGCATTGAAAAATGTAAAAAAAAAATAAAATAAAAAAAAAGGATAGCCAGTAACGATTTTTATGTCTCGTAGGATATATGGGACGAACGTGAAGTGTTCGGCCCTTGATGTTTTTTTTCTCGATTTTAACGAGGGTGACGGAAGAAAAAAAAATAAGAAAGGAAAGCATACCGAAATTCTCTTTGCCCCTTTCTCTCTTTCCTTATAAATTTCTTCGTCGCACAGGATACGTATCGCTACTTCAAAAAATCCTACTTCTCGTTTTCAGGCTTCTTTCTACTTTTTTCTTCCGTCTTCCTCTTATCACGATATACGCTTGACAGCTTAGCGAGAGGGCTTCTTTTGTGCTTTCGTCTCCTCTCTTATTTCTTTCATAAATTTCTCCTCTACGCATACACATGGTACAGGTATATGTATAGTACGGTGGTACGGGCTGGTTTACAAGTAAATTTTTATGTGGTCGCTACTGAATGGAGCACGTAAGGGGATGCGAGAGGGCGTGGTCCAGAAGTACCGGCGTGCCTGCGGCCAATTCCGGTCTGGCGTCTCCACAGTCGTCGTCGCAATCGAAGTAGTTACTCTGAAAAAAAATGAAGAAAAAATTCAGAAGAAAAACATCTTACATCAGACTTCATTTCTTGACGTAGATTTAATATGGCTTTTTCATTTCCTCCAGATCCCGATGCTACGTTATCTCCCTTATCAACACTGGCTTTTATATATATATATATATATATATATATATATATATATTTTTGAAACTAGGAAAAGTGAAATCACACCAAAAATAATTAACAGACCGGTTTAATAAGGCTTTTGGAAAATTTACCCTCACAGTGTTCGTGGCTCTTTAAATAATACATTATGATACAAGTGCGGAAAGTTGATGATTCCTGACGAGTGAGACGTTTGCCGGCCGAGCGAAGCGAGAGTGGCAAACGTCACACGAGTAGGAATCACCAACCCGCACGCGTATCATATACTATTTTTTGCAACAATGTACGGAAAGTTCGCAGGATATGGACCAAAAAGAAGCACGAAATGGCCGATTCTTGATGAGTTCAGAGTGTGCGGGAATCATCAAGAATGGACCATTTTGTGCTTGTTTTTTGGTGTATAATTGTAAAACTGTATATATCATTGTATAATTTCCGTATAGCGTTGTAAAAAAATAATTTTCAAAAATGTTAAATTCACGAAATCATATGAGGAACGGAAGTGGCATTATCGTGTGTCATGCAATTGTTATTTTGTATTATTATTATTATTTTTTTCCTTACCTGACAATCGATGCATCGACAACTGTCCGTCAGGGAGCACGTGAGTCCCAAAATTTCCACAGCCTCCTTGTACAATTCGGCACTGGATTTACGTTGCTTTGGGGGTGACGTCGGGGCGCTCACCGTACCCGTGCCCGATGCTCTTCTGCCGCTCTTCAGTCTCGACGAGGACTCTCGAGACAAGGAGGAGGTCGACGTCGATCCTCTCGGCTGGTTATCACCCGTAACCAGAGCCCTCCCAGCGGGGGATGCAAACAGTTGCAGCATATCTATGTCCTGTTAAATATAAATTAGCATAAGAATGCTTATTGGATAGACAACAATAAAGGTTTTATTTTTGAAATTTTTTATTTTCCCAAGATGCACCAAGAATCTTCATAGGTCTGATCTGCATAGAAACTGAAAAGAGAGGGATGAAAAAGTTTCGTAAGACTATACAATTTTTTTTTTTCGACTTTACAATACGGGGGTAGTTTCCAACTGCAAGGGGTGGCGAAAAAAGGGTCAGGCTGCATATTCTACTTTTATCCAAGTTTTCAAGTCATTTTAAAGCGGATACAAGTCCGTGTACGTAAGCCAAGTGCAGTGCACGAGGGTGGAAATGGTATCCTTGTGAGGAGTTGACCGAAAATTCTACACGACCTTTTCCCAAACGTGAAATTAAATTTTCAATTTTCTTTCCACCTTCTAATGGAAAAGTTCGATTAATTCTCGGAGACCCGCGGTTCGGGAAATATGTCGCGGTGGGGTCGTAAAATTTTTTTTCGGAAATACTATTTTACGGCGAAACGTGGGAAATTGAAATTCCACGTATATTAAACATGGTTTACGGTTACATCGTAGTAACATATACGTAAATTATCAGCGTGAGACGGAGATAGTTTCAAAAATAAAAATTCAAAGTATATATATATTATATTAAAAAAAAATATTTTATTCCAAATGACGTAATCTCATTTATCGCCTTACCTCACTTTTTCTTTTCAATTAAATTATCAATACAGGGTACCGGGTCCCCGTTTCTTCGTATGCGAAAAAGAAAAACAATAAAGCTTCATGACTGTCTCGTTAGTCTTAATTTGCAATTTAAATATTTCAATTAGCCCATCGCGGCTAACGCCGACGGGGCCACCGACTGGAGGAATCTTGAAAACTTTTAATAATTCGAATTAACAACTCTTCTCGCGACTGCGAACAATAGGAGGAAGCAGTCGAGTGATTTCTTTGTACGACCTTCGCCACCCCCACCCCCCAGTCTCTCCCTTTCAACCCTTATCCAGCCTTCCCAGGCCCCTGGCAAGACTTCCACCACTTTTTTTAATTAACACCAAAATCATTCAATCTCCCTGTCTCATCTTCATGGACAAATGGACCAGCCGACCAGAAAGCCGCGTCCGCACGAAGTGACTTCGTAAAATTGTCTCAATTATTCCCACTGGAGTTATCCACTTTTTCAGAAAGACCTCTCGAGTGTCATTTTCACAAAAGCCGAGGAATAACTCGACGACGGAGAATATTCGCGATGAAACGTTAAATTCCGACCCCCCCACATCCCCTCGCCTTAGGACAAATCCCACGAAAAGGAAGAAGCTCGTAAACTCCTCGTTTACATTCATTACAAGAACGAGAAGGATTTTTTGGTTAAAAAGCTCAGAATCGTTATTCACTCGCGTCCTGTCTCTAAATTAACTCGTAACGCTGCAGTGCTCTCTGACGACGTGACCAACCCAACCTGACCCCGCTGAACAACCTTAACAGTACAGACACGCGAAAGAGTCATTCCACGTTGCACTTTTAATTATAAGCAAAAATCTTATCCACCTGATTATCTTATCATAGGATAAACAGTCAGTGAATTACATTTTTTTTTTTTTTTTTTTTTTTTTTAAAAAAAAAAAAAA